GGGGGAGATGGGGTGGTGTATGGCGGTAGCACAGCATCGTAAACATGCGTGCCAACTGAATGTGCATGTGGTACACATATCCCGCTTTTAGCGCATAGCAAATGGCAAAGGCAATACTGTGCGGTTGCAGAATCGATCTACCCATTGGCTGTGTTCATACCGCTACTTTTGGGAAGTTTAACACATATTGCCACTATGGTGATGAATAAGCAATCAACAATCGTATCGCAAGCTCTGAATCATTAATTTCTTTAATCACTACTCGACTGATTTAGGTACCTACTTAGCCAATAAGTATTATAATTTATTGGATGCTAATATCAGAAGAACATAATAAGAATACAATATTAGATCTTTTCTTTGCTCAATTTCCAGGAAAGATACTTGAATTTAACGACTGAATGCATCTACTCTGCTTAACGTGACTCCTGACCTTACTAAGGTGTACGGGAATAGAAAATGGGTGACGGTCATACAAATCAAAAGTTTGGCAATATGCAACGCTTAACTTTATAACTTAACCTCTTGTTGAAATTTTCATTATTGATCGCCAACATTTTCTTATTACATTTCTCTCAATAGAGAGTAAACTTGCAATTTCGTTTCGAAAGTAATTATACTGACTGAAAGTTAATTTATGATCAACTTTTGCTTAAGGCACTTAAAATTCCAGCGACAAGCAATAAATTGGATCTAAAGTCCGTGAGACGAATAATCTTTGATAATGCCTGTTCGTTGAATTCCTTTAACTGAACAAAAAAACAAGTCACGTATGGCAAAACGTATAGTAGCTGAAAAAAAATTCTGCCAACACTTGGTGAAAATAGCAATGGGATTATGTGGATGAAATTTTATATTCATTTAAAAAACGGATTTTTTCCCTATTAACCGACTTATATTTAAAATTGATGATGACTGACTAAAAATTGATAAAGTTGATTTATTTTAGAAATCAATATGTTAATTTTTAAACAAACAATATATTCGACATTTTAAACATCAAAGTAATATAAACTTTAATTCGTTAATTATTTAATTTGCATTTTTTCTGTGATGGCTCGAAGTCTGTTTATAATATTTTGTTAAATTTCAAAATGAAAACCCTCAACAATTGTTTGGATTGCATTATATGACTTTCATCTATTTGAAGGATCGAAAATGATTCTCTTCTTCATCGTATTTTCGATATCGAATAATATAAATTAAGTACAAAAAGTTAGGATCCATGATAGATGACTCGTGTGACTTAATTTAAAATAAACCTTGTTAAGTGATCATTCATCATAATCACTCTGCCGACGCGGTAAAAACGACAATTTAATTAAATTTAACGTCAATCTGGACATTTCAATTTTAGTTATAAAGAAATATAATTCATATCTGATTCATTTGTGATTCGACGTTAACTTCACTTATTATAACCACCAGATTTAGTAATAGACTACATTGACTAATAATTTGCTGTTAACAATAAGTAAGTCGAACCTGATTGGTAGATGTTAATTGATTGGAATTCCTCTCTCCTTTTCCCTCCAAAAGAATGCCACTATGCAGAGAGGAGAAGTTGGATCATTTTGAACATTCAATGCAGTTATAATAAATTGTTTATTTAGTTGCCTTCATAAATAAATCAACCCTGAAAGGTTCCATTAAGGAATAACAATGTGTTTACATTATCAAAACGATTACCAACGCTTATTTGAACTGAACAGCTGCTTTTCGAGGTTTTAGGGTATTGGTCAAGTTAGGAAATGATTTCAATTGTTGGCCAGTCAATGCACCTACCATTCAACTAGTTCAAATTATTTAGGTGCCATTTTTTTATTAATTTGTTTATAGTGGAGTAATTAATTTGAGGAAGGTTAATAGATTTCAGGCATTCAGAAAAGATGCCTTGTATTCGATCAATTTTTCGCAATTATATACTAAGCAGCATATTGTTTTTAATAATGGTAATCTTTGTCAAATTTCATTCAAATACCGCATTCCAATTCCTTGGATTTGAATATTTAGAGGAGTAAAGATATTCATGTACGACAGATTGAGGATAATCAGGTAAAAATAAAATGACTTACTGACCTGCCAACTTCAAACTTATAATTCAACCATATCACCACTTTCAATTTGGAAGTATATTTTATTGGTTTAGACGAGCCTTGATTAGTCGATTATTAACATGTATTGTGAATGTTCACAATGCCAACGGAAAGCTTTAGAACTTACTTCCATCAGAGTTTGTTTCTACTCCAAAGCCGTCAAATTGGTTCAGATGCCAACTGCCTTCATATCTGGCACAAGTAGTCAATGACTCCTTAACACCGTACCTCCCATAGAATCCGGAAGTGAAAGCCCCACGATAAATCCATCGGCCCTTTATCTGAACACCCTCGCCATGCCGTTTGCCCTTCAACCAACCCCCAGAGTAGAGATTTCCCGAAGGCCACACGTAAACTCCCCTTGACTCAAATCCCATATTCCATTCTCCGGAGTATTCTCCTTGGTTATCCGGTCCTGTTGCAATACCGAATCCATGAGCTCGATTTTCACACCACTCGCCGACGTAACTACCCCCATCGTCAAAATCGAATCGACCACCTTCAGCAGTAGCCATTTGTTAGAGGAAAGTGGCATCCATAAGTGGAATGATTTTGCAGGTTTCCTTGCGTGGAAAAGTGAGGTGGAAGGAGGGTGGGATTCTCTATCAACGGGAAAGTTAGAAAGTTTGTTTGATGGTGGGAGGAGTAAGAATGATCAGTAATCGTGAAAATGCAAGGAAAGAGCTGCTATTGCCCGTTGGCACACGTGGGGATCGGTTGGTGTATGTGTACAGTGCAGTGCTATTACGTATATGTGTATTGGGGCCGTGGAAATTGATTGCAGAAGCTGTGGGCGAGGCTAACTGACCATTCATAGTGCTGCGTGCAGGCCTGATTGGTGCAAAGGTGCTGGTCAGTAAAAGACGCCTTATTCGACACTTGCTGGTGTTTCTGTGCGGAGATGCAACTTGATAGGAATGCAGGTGATAAATGTTTTGCTGCAACATTGTTCGCTTATTTTTCCCACTAGCCTTCTTCGTCACTCTCTAGCTTAGTTCACTTCTAATAAACAATTTCAAATACATTCAATTTTTTTTAATAACGCTTTCAGCAGAGACAAGGTTCACTTTTCCTATTGTCATTGTTACTTAATTTCGAAAATGGACTGTGATTAGTTTGTGTAACCTATTCGAGAAGGAATATTCTAAATACCGAACATTTTCACCATTAATTAAATTCAATCAGTCACACTAGTCCACATTTCCAAACACGAATTCGGTGCATTTACGGCAGTTAAAATTCCACCCAATTAAACCGATCAAACAACAAAATCGATTGTAGAATAAAATCTTTTAGTTTACCTTTTATTCAACCCAACCATTTAGACCCAAATTATGCTAATAATATGCAATTTTTGAAATTAAATTAAAGAAATTTCAAGCGAGACACATCGCCTTTTATCTTCAAATCATGTTTAATAAAAAACGATGATTTGCATGACGGCCAAATAAAACCGATTTCAAGGAAATTTAAATTCAATTAATGTTTAATATCAAGCTAATTTAATCTAGCATTTTAGGCGAATATCGCTTGTATTGATTTTTACTTATTCCAATAGGCTTATGTCAGCATTTGTCTCTGAATTAGCTGTACTTACGACAAGAATGTCATTATGCAGTGATTTACAACTTGTGTATGCTTGTCACCTTCTGCCCCCCTCCCCCCCCCC